GTGGCTCGTGGTCAGGCTCGCGTCCTTCATGTTCCCTCAAGACATCAGATCGCAGATATCTTCACCAAAGGACTTCCTCGCATTCTCTTTGATGATTTTCGGACCAGTCTAAGCGTCCGTGAACCTCTCGCTTTGACTGCGGGGGTGTGATAGAATAGAATATTTTGTTGTAATTAGTCATAATTAATTTCCTATAATTAGGTTGTATCATTATTAGATAGTTGACCAAAGGTTACACATTGATGTATATATATTCTATTCAAATCAATGAGAAAGACGACAATTCCATTATTCCATTATCTTACACATATCTCTATTACATCTCTCATAATTTAAGAAATACACGGACAAACCGAAAATAGATCCTCTGTGTGGTCATCCTTAGCCCGCCCCTCTTCTAATATCTCTTGATGAGCAAGTCTAGGTGGTTCTCCCGCGACATATGGTGTCATGTAAGGATGTGACACTCAATATAACCATTGAATGTAGCTTACTTCATAAGACTATGTTTCACCCACTGGCACACTACATGCCTCATCTGGTACTAGATGACTATAAGAGTCATTGAGTATGGCATCAAGATCTCTGTGGATGATTGTTAGAGGAGCAAACACAAAGGGATGTCTTGGAATCATATGATGATATCTGAACCGGCACATGACCCGCTCAGGTAGCACTACTACAAACAATGATTTTTTTACCTCGGACGCAAATGCATATTATCTCGGCTATAGAAACAACGTAACGAAGGGCGACATGAAAATTTTCCACTTATCACCTCAATGGTATTAAAATCGAGAAGTAAAGTTAAATTCACATGGGTTCGAACCCCATCAACAACACTTTAATTATTTTCAAAACTATGATATCTTTCATCTCAGTTTATTTTGAAAACCGGGAGGTAAGATTGTTTCTTTTTTTTTTTAATAAAAAAATTGTTACATTGTTTACCTAGAATATTACATCGTTTAAAATAAAATTCAAATTCCCTAGAGAACAAGGTAAAAATCAAATTCCCTGAAGATCTAGATTTTAGATCTTCGAATTATTGAATCTCGTGGAAGATCAAATGTTGGATGCAAGGTTATTCTCTTCGGATCTTGCATGCATTTGATTCTAAAGCAAAACAAAATAAGGGTTAGATAAATAAAATCAATATTCAAATATATTATTTTATGCTCAAATAAATATTTAAGAAAACAAACCTTAAACTCAAGTAATTTTCTGCTCTTACAATCCATCTTAGAGAAATTTTCCAAATGTCTTTATGTTTCAAGCGCTTCATATTCCATATATGTTAGATTATCAATATTCAGCAAATTTTTATAACAGATGTCCCTTAGGTTTCACGCGGATCACTAATGGAAGATTCATGAGCGTTGATAAACATTAGATGTACGACAAATATTTATTTAAGGGCGTTGAATATATTAAAAAATGCTTAACTATCCCCTCGGTCAAGAAAAAAACGAGGTGAATAAGCTGTTTTTTTAAATACATTGTTTACACATAAAATTAAAAATACATTGTAAATTTTGTTTTACATGTCCAAGTCCCATGCAAGATGTTGGAGATTTGTTTTCCAGTGAGAATTTTTATTTTCTACACTTGCAATTCATTTTAGAGATATGTAGTAGCAACTCATGATTGAAATGGACGGTAGTAAAATATGATTATTAATCATCTCAGTTTTACTATAAAACTGATGCGTTATATTAACTATCACCTTAGTTTTAAATAAAACCGAGGTGACTATTTTTTTATATATATATTTTAAAATATATTGTTTACAAAAAATATTAAAAAACATTGTTTACAACAAATCTTCGGTGATATCCAGATTTTGTTGGATACCCATTAAAACAAATATTTTTGAAATAAGAATAATTTTTTACACTTGCAATCTATCAACTGAGTACTCTTCAAAGGTTAAGCTTCCTTCTTTGTTGGTTAAACTCCATTCATTGTTTAACTTGAAGTAGAAATTATTTTCTGCACTTACAATTTATCAGGTGAGATATTTTCAAAGGTTGAGCTCCATTTATGGTTGGTTAAAATCCATTCTTTGATTAACTTAAAGTAAAAATGATTTTCCGCACTTGCAATCTATCAACTGAGTATCCTTCTTTAATTGAGGATTATTCCAAAAAATATAATAACGACAAAACCAACACCATTATGTGAGATATATTTTAAGGGCAGAAAAAAAATATTTTGTCAAGATAGAAGAACATTGAAGATTTTTTCTGTCTTGCAATCCATCCCAAATAATGAGTGCTTTTATAGTAAAATCTTATTATATTATGCACCGGTTAAATAGAAAATTGAAGGGTTAGAACATTTTGTTTATATTTATAAACAAATAGAATCATAAGTTACGATAGCTGGGAATCGAAACTTGTACTAATTTGTTTTTTCACCTTGATTTTATAAAAACTGAGTTTTTTTTTTAAAAACCGAGGAAATTTATGTTTTTATTTTTATTTTTTTAAATAATAAAGAATAGCACGCCTTGACTTTATACCTTAGTTTTCTATTATTCGAGGTGAAAGCTTCGTCATGAAAAACATTATTTGTTGTAGTGTAGATGTAGCTACATTAGGTAAGACCCACAAGCCAACCATCTAGAGTAGAAGGCTACGTCCTCCAAGGGACGCATCTACTGATGGCCATCCTACGAACAAAAGCATATGTCATATGCTACAATGCGGTCAATAAACACCCTGTGTGGCTCTATGGCTTGACTCCATTTGTACGGGATAAAGGCGCAAGCACATGGCTAATCCTCACTATACTCCCTCTTAGGTTGCCACCGGATATGCGAGGAAAATGTGAGATAATCCAGGCTTAAAAATGGTTCAAATGAAATATTAGTAACAAGTGTAACACAAGCATTGTAAAAATATAAGTAATAGTAAATGTTGCAAATAAATTATCGTAAATAGTGTGCATCTTCCAGTCATATGTTTTTTCTTTCAAAGCCAAGCTTCACCTAGTTTGGAGTACAAGTAAACCAAACGCACAACCCCCTAGTTGTACTCGTGGATCCGCTCTAAAACGGTGAAGTATTTCACATAAACTACATCGACGTGGTGGCACTTTTGTCCACAAATATTGTCATGCCAAACCAAGTATAAGAAATATGACCTGAATGCATATTTCCTATGGAACAAAACCTGTTTGTCATCACCTTCAGCTTCCACTGCCGCAACCAGGTGGTATTTGTACAACTCAACCAGGTATGAAAATCAGGCATGAGCGCCTTTCGTGGAGCCAAGCTCCTCTTGGACCTCACTTATGTTAGCTCCCAATAAATTCACCATCAACTCAAGTACCTCAGATTTGCCGATCCGAGAATGGTTTAATAATATTCTCCTAATCGGAAGATGCAGAAGGCATGAGACATCATGAATGGTGATTGACATCTCACCATGACGAATGCGTAAAGATGACATTTCCTTGTTCTATCTCTCCACAAAAGCCGCCAACATGCATTGTTAATGGTCATATATCTATTGAAACATAAACCTGCAAGCCCCGAGTAACAAGCACAATCTTGAAACCATGCGTCTGTATTTTGTTCTAGGTTCAAAATCTTCCTGGTATGGTTTACAGAATTTACTGTTTCACGCTCCTGTAAAAATAAATATTCCAACATCAGTCACAAATCAATTAGTATGAAACAAATGTAACATAAAAGTAAATAAAAATACATTTCCTTCCACACACGCCTAACAACATGTTCAACATAGAAAGGAAGTAAGGACATGTCAAATGAGCCTTCTGGAGAACTATCAGGATCAAGACAATAGCAACAATGTCTTCATATGTTGGAGGGTCAGCAGGAGACACGTGCATGCCCTCGGGAGGTCGAAGTCTGAGACATGCAACCTTGTGAAGCCTGAGACACGCGACATGGTGAAGTCGACGCCTCCGCATCAAACGAACTAGCACTAACTCATGGCCTCGAGCGTGCTGCCCTCTCTCTCTACGAACGTACACATGCTCAAGATACATGATCAAGCCTTAGTCTCTCATGGTTTAAGGCTTTGTTCATATGTTCCTAAACATAAAAAATATCAAAAGCAAGTAAATTTCAGAGATGTATCTCTGAAATAACAAAACAACATAACCCAGAAAAAGCGGAGATGCATCTTCATAAAATTGTAAAGGAGAAAAACTCTAGAAAAAACCAAAGATGTATCTCTCTAAAAATGAGCGACTATGCAGAATTTCCAGAAAGTGCAGACAATATCCTAAAACAAATAAATTTTTATGCATGTTTAAAAAAATTACCTATTTTAAATGTAACTACAAACTAATGCATATTAAACACCTTATTTTACCTAATACATACATCAAAATTTCAATAATTCCTAATACATACATCAGAATTCAATAATAAAAAGACAACAATAAATTTACCGCTTCAGAGATTAGTTATGCAAAAGCTTAAATGGAGTGAAGTAGTGTTAGAAGTTTGAAAAATGACTTTGATGGTTGTTTTTTACGAGCTTTGAACTTGAAGGGTTTGTGAAATTGTAACACATGAAGAAGGAACGAGGAATGGTCTAACACAAGTCATTTCAATTAAAACCCGTTCAGAGATGCATCTCTGTAAAATTTACTAAGTGTAAAACACTGACTTTCAAATTAAGGATTATTACAAAGTTGTATCTCAGAAAATATTCTTAAACAAAATGGGATAACTCATTCACTAAAACGTTAAAATGTATAATTTTAGTGCATTCGAAAATGCATATCTAAAATTAATTTTTTTTTTTAATGATTTTTCAGCGTGGTAAATTAACATCAAAAGAGTGAAAAAAAATAATACCCATTTTCTTTTAAGTCTTGCAAAAAAAGATTGACTCAACATATTTTCATCTTATTTATACCAAAAATAAATAAATACGGATGGGTAAATAAAGGAGCGGTTTGTGAAGGAGAACAAAAGCGAAAGAGATAATTCCTTCTTCTGATTATTATGTTGTGTTGATATGGCGTCACACGTCACTCCAGCGCATGTTAGCAACATCAAACCCTTGCTTTGTTCCACTCAGAAGGTTAACCATGTGAAGTCTGAACTGTCGCCACCGCCATCATGGAGTGAAGGCCGGCGAATGGTGTCCATATCTCTAGTTCTCGCCCCCTTCCTTCTCAATCCTAACCGTATGCCTTCTCTCTCCCTTTCACTTTTTGCTGTTCCATCATCTTCTTCTGCACATTGAATTGGTATTATTTTCTATGTTGCAGGTGCTAATGCTGAAGGAAATTTTATGGACAAATATGTTAAGAGGTAATGCTCCGGTACCTCAATTATAGACATTATGTGAATGGAAAACTCTCTTAGAATGTGATTTTGCATAATCTGTACTGGGACTTATTTATTGATTTTAATCAATGTTTTGTTCCCACAAAACGATGATTCTGATTCTAATTTTTTCTTAAATGCTCTAGAAAAAAGCTAGAGCCTCTGGAGACTTACGTACCCGCTGTAATACTCACACAGTTCCAGATTGAGGATTTGGGTAAATGCCAGTTTTCCTTTAACAGCTGCCGTTGTCATGTTAGATATCAAGATATCTATTAGCAAATCTCTGATTTTGGTGTTATTTATTTCATACTTCATTTCACATGGTTTGCAATTATCATAAACTGAATTTGATATAGATTCTAGTTATGCCTTTCTTTCTACTACTGCAGATAAAACTTTAGAGGGTGATGAACCACAATTCGCCCTCTGCCGGTCTCTACTTCGTTCTGGGCCTGCAGCATCTCTTCGTAAAAATATTCGAGCAGTAAGTAAAGGCTTCCTTCAACTTCTGAGTTCTTCACCCTCCCTACTTTATGATAATCATATCTTATCTGTGAAAGTTAACTATAGCTTCGCAACGTTTTTATAGGTTGCGCAATATGCTTCAGACAGTGGCAATGGTAAAACTGCATTCAACAATGTTGATGAATGTTTGAGGTAACATAATCAATTTTCCGCAAAATTTATTATGAAAACTATATGCTTGAAATGACTATCACCATTTGCAACTGAGCTATAGTAATAAGTTTCATGATTATGTAAAATCTTAAACCCCAATTGAAGAACTCTGTGTCTGAAGGTCAATTGAGGAACTTGACTCCTTGCTTCTGCGCGCATCAAGAAATGATCCTGGCGCCTCGGTCAAATCAATGAAGACGAACGTCAAATCTGCCCTTATCGCTCTAGACAGGTGATTTTCATGTACTTTTTCTCTCCTTAGCCGCATGAATGGTGCAGTCAGCTGCAAACCCCGATCAATTAACATTTTCCATACCAATTTGCACACACATGGCAGAAAAAGATGCTACTCTTAATAAGCTTTCTGTTTCAGCCTCTTACAAACAGTACCGTCGGATGTGCTAAGTAAGGGAAAGGTTATAGCTGATTCATACTTGGATCGGGAAGACGTCGAAACAGAGAGCTTGGACCCTGGTTTAAAGCAATTAGAATCAATACTATGAATACCTAGAAGATGTCCTTGTTTATATCTCTATACCAACCTGTTTTACTTTCTCACCTCTATGTTCCCAGTCATTGTTATCCTTACATGTTCATATTCAGTTGAAGAAACTGAATTTGGTGCTCTGTTGCATCTGCATCCTCATAAATTAAACTTAAAATATAGAGAAATTTAGATCTTCAAATTCTTAATCTTGATTATTTTCAGAATAATTATTCGGGAAATTTTGTTAATAATTTATTTCTTTATGTTTTGAAGTTTTTGGAAGGACCCTTTGATACGGTTTAAAATGATAGTTTACAAGTCATTTATCACTACAAAAATGCGATAAAAATAATGATGTAGTACGAAAAATAATGAGGTTATTCAGTGGAGATTTTTTCAAAAGCTCTACAAATTAATTTATAAATTAACACATTTGATTCTTACATTAAAACATTTTGTTTGATTCTAGATGATTTAAAATCCCGAATTTTTTTAAATATAATTATGTTTTTCAACAAAAATACCAAACAAATTAAAATTTTAAAAAATGTATTAAAATGACCACAATTCAACCTTGGGTCGCCACTTTAATTGGACTCAGGCTATACTAATTAGACTTGTCAAATGAATTGGCGACAGAGTCTATGTGGCCTAAGAGAGTCGCCATTCCGTTCGGCTACTTGACTCATTTTTTTTTTTTTGTTTTAGGGTTTACGAATTAATTTTCAATTTAAATAATAAAAAAAATAATTAAATTCAATTTAAATTATTTAAAAAATATATAAATATGAATAGGTTTAATTAAAATATTTATACAAATTGAATTTTAAATAATTTATGTTTTTTAGTTTTTATAATTAGTTGAATTTTAAATAACGTTAAAAAAAAGAAATGGAATAAATATTATATTATGTTTTTTGTTTTTCATAATTAATTAAAATGTAAATAATGAAAAAAAAAGAAATGGAATAAATATTAAATTATAGTTTATGTTTTTCATAATTAATTGAAATTTAAATAACATTAAAAAATATAGACATGTAATAAATATTAAAATATATTAATTTACAATATAATGAAAATTACAATTGCATAAAAAAAAAACTAATGGTCGGCTCTATCCAAGCGACCACCAGTGCCACATTGTGGAGGATGCGCGTTGCGACGAGGTCTACGACGAGGTTGTTGTGGTGTGTCCGGTTTTTGTGTGTTGAGTCGTGGAGGAGGGTTTTGTTGGGATGACCCCGACATATCAGATAAATTTTGAAGCATTTGACCCCAATAGTCGGGAGGTCCACTATCAAAGACCCTTCCGTAGTTAAGCCCAATGCCCATGTTTTCGTAGGATTGTCGGGGAGGTTGGGTGGAGTATGGACGGTATGGTTGTCCGAATTCGTACATCGAATTGGGTTGGAAATGGTGTGTTGGTTGTTGTGGGGTTTGGTAGTCAAACAGTGGATAGTTGGAGGGGGTAGGGTCAAATGAGTTATCTGGGCTATAGGTGGAAGGGGTAGGGTCAAGAGACGTATCAGGGCTATATTGGTATGGTGGTTGATGTTGTGACTGGGTGGGTGGCATGTACTGGTCATGGTAAGGATGTTGTTGTTGATGTTGGGCATTTGGTGGCATGTATGGGTTATGGTAAGGCTGATGTTGGGCATTGGACTGTTGTGTGTTTGATGAAGAAACGCGTTGCCTTGGGTCAATCAAATAGGTTGGCTCCGACAGAATTGGCTGAGATGTTGTAACCGACCTAAACCAAGTCATATATTGATAACTTGGCCTAGCCCCCTTCCACAATTTGGTCGATTAAGATGTGTTGCCTTCTGTTCTTCCAATGTTGACACATCTCCTTCGCAAACTCCTTCCAGTGAATGACACTCCAGTGTGAGTCCACCCGTTGCTGATGCCACTGCCCGAATGATGTCGGAGCATCTGGAATATCCTGATGCATCCTAAATTGTAGCTTCACCCGGTCACTTTAGTGCATCTCCATCGTAGTGAACCTAATTATGGGTGTTTTTGATGTCCACACAACAACATCATTGGCGTCGGGATGGTGGTCGAGACCCTCGTACGATATCCAGACAAACTAAAATAAAAGTAGATATATTTAGTCAGATAAAGATAGACAAGTTTATGCATATAAGTTAGACAAAGTAAAGGTAGATAACTTACATCATCTGGCCCAGGGTGGTCGATGAGGTTCCGGTACACAATTATGGAGTTCCTGGGACATCTCTGATAATTCATCCCTAGAACAGACCACCTAAAAAAAGAAACACATATAAGTTAGCATCTAAAACACATCTCACAAATTGTTAACTTACAAAGAAACTTTGGTTGCTGAATAGTCTTGAAAAGAAACTTACTTGTTGGCGTACGGGAATGTAAACGGATTCCGGTTTACTGGAGCAAGCGTTGACATCCTAGACCAACCCCACGCTTGAAGGAGATAGGCGCATCCATAAAAGGCACAAGAATTTTTTTTGGAATTTTTACACAGTGCACTATATAGATGGACGAAGACAACTGATTCTCAACTATATTCACACACTTTGTTTATGTTTTGTAGCAATGGTAAATACATAATATTTACGGTATTTCCAGTGCCCTCTAGAAATAAAAAATGACCAAACAAAATTATAATATAGCACCGATTTTTGACTATTTTCTCATAGTCGGTGCTATGCTCACTTAAGACAATACTGCTGTATTGTTGTCTGAGGTATTTAAGATTTATTCCCTGACCCCTCGGGAAACCCTCGCGTTCTCCCTCAGTTGCGTCCACACAAAGAGGGGCGCCCAATAAATCTTCGCAAAGTTGGTCATTAACACCAACTTGACCGTTGACGGCCTTACCATTGATGTGTAGGCCGAGCAACATGTAGACATCTTGAAGAGTCACAGTGCACTCACCGAAAGGTAGGTGAAATGTATGTGTCTCTGGTCTCCAGCGTTCTAACAGCGCTAGAATGAACTTCGTATCGAGTGAGTATGATTTGATTTTAATCAAATTACCAAACCCACAATGTTAAAGGTATCCCTCTATGAAGGGGTCGTGTGGTATGTAATCATGCACACGACATCGAAACCTTGATGCATCCTACAAAATAAATAATGTTTCGTTAGTTTTATAGGAGAACTAAAGATCGTAAACATAGACAAAAACTAAAAACTTACAAACTCAGTGATGTTCTCAATCGTGCCTCTGTGAGAGTTGCCCATTGTGAGTAAAGACATTGTGGTTTACGAATTTGCTAGGTGAGTATAGTTTGAGAGTTTGAGACTTTGAGAGTTTAAGTGTTTGAGAAACTGAGAATTTGAGAGTTTGAGAGTTTAAGACTTTGAGACTTTGAGAGTTTGAGAGTTTGAGAGTTTGAGAGTTTGAGTGTGAGCAGATTTTGCTGGGTAAAGAACCTCTACTTATATTCCATGAATGCATGTGACCTGTAGTTGGATGCAAAGCAAGTGTCTTGATGCATGTGACCTGTAGTTGGATGCAGAGCAAGTGTCTTGATGCATGTGACTTATAAATGCATGCATGGTAAGTGTCTTGATGCATTTGAGGCATGCAGCTGGTAAGCAATGTGTTGTCTTGTCAAGTATGCTGCACGCAGAGTAAGAATCTCGTAGGCCTGCAGGCAGGGTCATCGTAGGCATGCAGGGCCATTTTAGGCATGCAAGGCATCAGTTACTGTAGACAGAGTGCAACTGGTAAGCAATGTGTTGTCTTGTCGAGCATGCTGCATGCAAAGTAAGAATCTCGTAGGCCTGCAGGCAGGGTTGTAACACCCCAATTCTATACCCCCAAATAATCACATAATCATTTAGGCACATATTAAAAATTTCGTCAGAGTATAATAATAAACATAGTATAAAAGAGGTATGTCACATTATACATGAATTTAAAACATTCAACACCTACTCAACAATTGATATGCAACAGTGGGGTAACTTTGCAACAGAGGAACTTAGTCTTTACACCCACATCTCAATATTTAGAATAAAAGCGGAAAATCTAAACATTGAATAACACCAAACATACATACACACACATACAAACACACACACACACACACACACACACACACACACACACACACACACACACACACACACACACACACACACACACACACACACACACACACACACACACACACACACACACACACACACACACACATATATATATATATATATATATATATATATATATATATATATATATATATATATATATATATATATATATATATATCATCGAGTATGAACCACCAACATAATTCATGTTTACATAAACATTCATCAACAAGATACATGTACAAATGTATCACAAAAGAATCATAATCATCCTAGCTACCCGGTGCTACATATCAGAGCCGACCGACCAAAAGAATGAAGACACGCTTCACAAAAAGACCACCAACATACCTACTCTGCAATGCCTCATAGAGCATCATAAAACAATAGAAGGGTGAGAAATATTATCATAATAACAATGCATATAATTATATATCTTAGCATAAAAATACACATATTCTACATTCTCACCACAATTCATCACCACTCACCCATATACATCACAATGTATATATATATATATATATATATATATATATATATATATATATATATATATATATATATATATATATATATATATATATATATATATATATATATATATATATATATATATATATATATATATATATATATATATATATATATATATATATATATATATATATATTCATCATGCATACCTTCACAATTCTTATCATTCCACATAAACATACATATTCATGTTTATTCATTAATGCACAATTACAAAGATGATAAATGAAAAACATAGAGACCGACTCACGACTCTATGCAAATGCAATGCGGTACCGACTCAATCATCTCAAGTTCACTCAGGAACTTATTGGAACCATCGCTCGTTACCAATGTAACTCCCCGTCGGACCTACAATGTTCACCCATTGCTCACACCTCACATAGGCACACA